ATGCTATTACAAGCAATACTTGGAAGTCCTATAAATGAAGGTGATCAAAGGAGAAGATGCTGTGCTGAGAATCTGACAGAGCTTTGTGTATGCTCACTTTCCCTTGGTGCGGCCCTTTGACATGTGCAGGGGAGGAGAGAGAAGTTCCTCATGGAAAAGCCTGGCTCTAAAACCACAAGAAATGTCAGGGTGCTCGGATGCGGGTGAAGGAACGGGGAAGTTTATTTCCTATATGTTTGTGCAAACGGAGTGGGTTCGAAGTTGATGCTAAGTCTGACTGTCTGGGAAGAGTGGCCCCAGTAATGAGAATCCTTGGGCATGGCCTCTTAAGGGATAGGCTGAGGATGAGTGTGTTTTGCCCTCCTCTTTTGCAGGGCTGACAGACATGACTTCATGAAATCCACTCAATTCAGCTTCGTAATGGAAAGAGCCTAGGCCATAAGCAAGGCAGGCTGGGCAGACTTGCCATAGCTGTATCCTACATGAAGTTGTATTCAAACCAAACCAAAATCAGTGGTGCCCTAAGTGCCACCTTCTGTTTGTGGAATGAAAACCGTGAAGCTAATGAGTGGCCTGTTAGACACTTTCTGGACCAGGACAGAAGCCAAGTTTCTGTCCTGGAAAGGCGAGGGTCAAAGCATCGTTAAAAAGCTATAGCATGGCTGATTGTGCCACAGAGCTGAGGGGCTACAGCTTCCTGTTTCCGTAGCATGGGCAGCAAGGAATAAGTTAAAGCTGGGGTTTTAAAATCCTCCATGTGTCCCAATGCATTTGTCTCCTGCAGACTCAAAGATGGCTGGGACCAGAGCACTGCGAGGGCTGGTGGCAGGGAGCGAAGGCTGGACTCCTGCTCTTGTTTGTCAGCAGACGTGTTTTCAGATGAACAGTTAATGACCCCCAGAGAAGGGTTCTGTTGCATTTCAACAAGTTTCAGGTAATGAAGAGCCTGCTAGGCCCATGTAAGATGAACGCTGCCTGCCTGGGTGGCTCCTGTCCTTGTTCTCTGGCCTTGTTCAGAACGTGCAGGTCATTCTTTCACAACAGTGCTGCTGGCTGTAACGTGTTATTAGTCCAACACCAGGGACTGGGGATGAAAGCCTCTGCATCTCTCCTCAAGCTAACCGTCACGTGTCCTGTCTGATCCAGCGGCCTAATTAGCCAAAGAGCTTAGTGTCACTTCTGAGCTTGTGTATGGAGTTTATCTTTGGCTTAGTGGGTTGGCAGCCCCCTGGATGCAGACTGGTATGACAAGTTTGTGTAATGGGAACTCTGGCTTCACTCAGGAGTCCCTGTACCGCATCCTTGTAAGGACCTGCTGCATGTATTGTTTGCCACAGTCCCCAGTCCTCGTTGCATGGGGTTGGGGTAGGGACATCGACTTGTCCCTCCCCCACAGCTTATCTGAATTGCCTGAAAACAGAGAGGCTCACTGTCTGCCCCTGAGCCACTCTCAGGGCTAGTGATGGTAGAGGCTGCCTCAGAAATAGGGTACAAGGGCAAACGGTTTCTGAGATGCCCCCATACAACAGTAGACATACATTAAAAGTGAGGGCAAGTTGAATCTGGGAGTACAGCAGCTTTCCTTGATCACCTCTGCCCTTGTTCAGGGGAAACAACTGACCTAGAGTTTGATGTCAGAGATCAATTTAAACGCTCCTCTCTCAAGCACCTGTTGTGACTTGCAGCGGGGTCAGGGCATGAGTGTGTTGAGTCAGTGGCCTGTGCGAGGTCTGGTTGTGGCTCAGGCCTCCATCTCCCAGTCTTCTCTTTCCAGCAGCACTGGTGGTACGCTCCAGCACTAGTAAGTGCTTTGTCATTCGGGTGCTGCTGCATACAGGTGTCAATGGCACTTGCTGTTATTTTATTGCCTATACATTAAGTATGAAGACATCCTACTCCAGCAGGGAAAAGATTCTGGTTGTTAAAGTGCTGTTGCTGAGGGAAAGCTGAGTCCTGGCACCAGGCAAAATGCACACTTATTTGTGTGCATTCCCATTTTTGTTTAATTAAAAAATTTATTAAGAGCTTCATTAACTTCTTCTAGCCTCTTACCTCCTCCTGCGGTGCAGTCTTAATACTGAATTTTGAATACTGCCCAGAGCTTTTTCATTTCCCTGTAGGGGCTGTAGCTTTATGAAGTTTCCTGGAAAACGAACCGATCTCTTACACAAATAGTGTCTGTTTTTGCATTTGCTCCAGTATGACAAGGTAAGAACTGTCTGGCTCCTTTGCTGGGTGTCTAGACTAGGGAGTCAGTTTTAGAAAGGTGATGTCTGGTCACTTCTTGAGTGCAAGTCCACTTAGATCAAAGGGCTGATCATGGCGAAGGATGGCTGCACATGTCCACATGTAACTTTCTTTTTATTCTTTATTCTTCTTGCATATAACTTTATTTTACATGGTTTTTTAGCAAGTCCATCCAGCAATTTTGTTAGAGAATGTGTCAATGCATTTCGGACCCAAGAGTGGAAGGATGAGTGAACTGTGCCGGTCTAGCCTTCTGCCTGCTGTTTACAAAAGCAGAGTGTTGCTAAAAGGCAACGTTTACTTCAGCCTCTGTGGATTCTGCTGTCTGCCCCTGTTTTTTGGGATGGGTGGATTGAAAAAGTAAATTATCTTTGAAAGTAACATCTGGTAGAAATCCCATGGCTCTGCAAGCAGGGCTCTGACAGAGCTGGAAGGTTGTTCTGGATAACGACATGTAACCTGGCAATCCCCAACGGCCCACTCTATTATGGCGGTGTTGCTTGGCTTTTGTTGAAGTCTAAGACTGCAAATGTCTAATTGCGCCTGCTCCAGGCAGCACAAGCCACCTATTGATAAGGTTTGTTATGGACCTGGACAGAACTGGGGACTCACCCAGGGCAAAGTGCTGAGGGCTGCAGAAGCTGGCTACAATATGTGACTGGAGCTCAATGATTTGCCTGGCGTTGGGATCACAAACACGGTATGTTTGGTATGACATGTGGTATCCAAGTGGAAAGATCTGGATTTTTGGCAGCAGATTCGGGCAGTCTGGGGGAAGAGGAGGGGTATTAACTACTGCTCTGTGTCTGTGGGAGGAAAGAGAGATTGCAAAGGGAAACAGGTGTTTCTCTGCTGTAATGAATTTACAGTCCCTGTGTATCTTCTCTTCTGCAGGCTCACAGGCTGTGGGGGAAACTTTCAGGCAGCAGAGAGTGGGCCTCACCTTCTTGGTCTACACATTTGGTTGTGGATGCTTTAGAAAGCCCTGTGCCCAGAGGCACCTAGAGTCCTGATCTCTCTTGAGCTGATTTTTCGCACACTTACTCTTAGGGGGGTGCACTTAACAGGCGTTTTGGCTGGTGATCTTTGCTGCTGGAGTTCTGTTTCTGGCTTCTGAACTGGCCAGTGCTGGGGTACTGAGAAATGTGTCCAGCCCTTGCAGAAAGAGCACAGCCAGAGAGCTTCCACCAGCAGATACCCCTTGGCCTCTGAGGTTTGGTCTGTGCTAGAAACTTTTGTTAGGATAGCAATGTTGATAAGGAGTGTGGCTTTCTAAGAGAGATTCCTGCACCTGCAAAATACTTATATGCAGCCCATACCATCAAGAAATGGCACAGACATCTGTAATCGTACACCTAACAGACTGTGCTGTCAAAACCTTCTGTAGACATGGGCACTCTGGGAGAAAGACTTGTGCTGGTAATCTCTTGTTCTGCAGTGGTTGATTGCTGGTCATTCCAGCTTTCCAGCCATGAGCTGGGGGGTAGGGCTCCACATGAACTAGGGGAAGAAGCCAAGAGCATGTCCCTAAGGAGAAGGAAACTAGTATCAGTGACTAAGGTGCTTCAGAGGTGAGTCTTTAAAATTAAGATCAAACAGTAACATTTAGCTTTGCTGCTCTCCCTGGCTGCTGAGTGTTCACAGCTTCCTGGATTTCAAACTAGGCCACATTCAGTGCTGGTGAACAGGTTGCTTCAGCGTGCAGGCAGGAGTTGCATCGGCTTATGACATTGGCAGAGTTCACCTCTCTCTCTGTTTCTGTCTCTCTCCTTTATTGCTTTGTGTGGGGAGAGGGCCATAAGCAGCCTATTACTGCAGCATGCTGAGAAACAAACTGGTAACATTGCCCTCACGCACACATGCAGTATCAGTTGCATCTTCCTGAGCAAGCAAGGAAGATGGGACAGAATTCTTTATGGATGGGCAAAATGGGAAATACGAACAGGAAAGAGCCAGGAACAGACATCTCTGCAAGCAAGAGAGTCGGTCTTGCTGTGGGGGGGGGGGGGGGG